GTGATAATAGATATTGCCATTTATCATGTCAAAACAATAAACATTATTTTTAAGTTCATATCTAATAAAATATAAAATCTAATAAGACATAATTAATTCTTATCTGGCATATATGGTCTTAAGTTTGAAACATTAAAAATATAATAAATATAGTACTGTTTTCATCTAGAATTCCTGGACTTCGGGCTAGTCGTTGACCCACTGCCAGTCGCAGTGTAGAACAATTTATTGTGACTGCAGGCAGCGTCGACGAACGCAACACAGGCCGTAGAAACTGAGCCAATTAATCGCTGTACCCTGCAGTTGAAAGTCCGGCCGATAAAAAGCCGCGACTCAAGCGCACTTAAAGCGCATAAATGAGTAGTTAAGAGATTGCCACACACTTTGCATTGATTGATGGATTTGTTTTGTTCCCATTCAGGCCATTCGAGGGGCAAGTGCCAATTGCCAAAGTTGGCTTCCCATTCATGGGCGTCGGGAATGGGGGCCTGAATGCCCAATTTGACACTTTTTATTGAGCTGTTTTGTTTTGTGATCGGTGGAAAAAATTTCAATTTGCTATCCGGATGGGTTGCCAGGGACATGTGCACGCAATCTAAAACTTGTATGACAACGACACTGCACCCATTGCTTGTGTTTCAATTTGGCCCGCCCGCCACGCTGATTGTCTATTTGCCAGGACAAGGACTAGTACCAGGACCACATCCGAAAAAATAGCTGCATTCGAGCGTATGGAGTATTTTGCAACTGCAAACACGACCCACCGCGAAGCGAGTATGAAACACGAAACGCAAATGTTAAATGTCAGTAAGACATGCAAAGATACTGTCACACATTGCGGCCTGTTCGATAGCGGCGGCGGAAAGGATAATGCAGGGCTCCATTAAATTCGGGCCCCTCGCATTGATTGACTTTCATATACATATACCATACGTTCGCAGTCCTTTTGAATCTCGACCTGCTGCCAACGGGGACGGCACAAAAGGACCTGCGCTCGTGTGTTATGACAATTTATTGCCTGGTGTTTGACGAAATTGAATAGCCCAGCGCTGCATATTGTTGGCTGGCATCGCACGATGGTGATGGAAATTGGAAATTGAAAATTGTTTGCAGCAAATCAAGTGGCAGCAAAAAGCCCGGAAAGGACTTTTCCAACAATGGTATAATTGAATTGCCTGCCATTAAGCCACATCGCACCTCTGGCTGCTCGACTGCTTCAAATGTGTGTGTGGACTGCTCGCTTTTTTAATGATTTCTGAATCCGGGACGAATTTAAATTTCTTAGAACCATCAACATGACCAATCCACATCTTTTGTTCCCGGCCAGGTCCTTCCTTATTCATGCGAAACTTTCGCATTTCGACAAACAAGAAGTCAAATTGAAAAGTTTTTATTTTGTCAACAGCAGGGGATGAAAAAAGTGAAATTAGAAGCCGCGACTGGGAAAGTGAAACAAAGTTGGCAGCGCAGTACAATTGCCGCGCTGTGTTTCCAACTCGAGCTGAACAAATAGCGGCGAACACATAACGTACAAAGTTAAAGTCGGGCATGTCCCTTTATTTTCCGCACTCCAATTTAACTTTGATGCTTTCTTTGAGTGGATTATCACATAATTGTGAAATATCGATTGGCAATTAGTGAAACTGCATTCGCATTATTTGCAGCCTCAAGATTTCCAAGAAGGCAGCGTAAAAGTGATGACCAAGACAGACGCAGATAAGTTGCAGCCTGGGAGGTAATTATTATTCTTAATTATCCACGGATGGGTGGCCAGGCCAAGGAAAATCCATAGAAAGCTGCCCCATCACCATCCATTCTGCTCCTCTGCCTTGCTCCTTCGCAGGGCAATTATGCAAACGCTGGGCCCGACAAGACAAAACAATGCCGAGATAGAGCTTTCTTTTTGGCTCAGCTCTCGCGCTCGTTAATTGTAATTGAAGTTTGTAATTAAAAAGTTTATACGAAGCGCTGGGTCATTAAAACAAAACGATGCTGGCTAATACAACTACTGGATACTATGGCTCCGGAAGCTGAAACTGGGCGAGCCGGGTTCAGGTAGCACTCGCACTCGGCATTAATTTTGATTTAAATGGTGTGTAAACGCTTTTAAACTTCCGAGATTTGTGTGGCCTTGCTTCTGGCACTTTTCTTGGCCGCAATTGAGTTATTGGACTCATTAGCGCTGGCTTTTTGCCGAGGGATGCAGCCCGAAAGCGGATCCGGTTCGACTAATTACCACTCTGATGAATGGGTGGGTAGGGCACGAGGCCAGGCATCCTCCGGCAGGACTGCCGGTTTGCTTACCTCCACCTTATCAGCCAATCAAAGTGGGTAAACATCGCACACACCACACACACCACACACACGCACTCGTTGGCACACAAAAACGGCGAGCAAACGACCCCAACCTAATCATGAATAATGTGCCACATATTCACACAATAAAATCAAGAAAAAGGCAACACAAATATCATAACAAGCAGTCTGGCAGGCACAGTTCGCCACCCCCCCTCGCCCTTCGAGCGATCCTATCAGCCGAAATGTGACACAGGCCACGCGCGTAAGGGGGACTGAAATAGGGGGTGGTACACCGAGAAAAAAAATAGCCTAAAAAAGATTACAGTGGCTGTTCTGAAATAGAATTTAGTCCGAACCTACACTACATACAAATTTGTATAACTTTGCAAATGGCATTATAATTTTGTAAGAAACGATGACGGTTTTGTGCAGCGGTGGACCTAATCAATTGATTCCAGTTTAATGTAAAAAAATGTTTTTAACGAATTCAACGAGGTATGTTATGACATTCAACCGTTCGGCTTAACCCCTTACGAAATTAAAAAAATGTAGCCCATAACTTTTCTTATAGTCATTCGATTTCAAATTGGCATACATTAAAATGATTGTGGTTAAATTCCCTAAAAATCTGTGTTAAAATGTAGGCTTGTATTTTTTGGTCGATTTTCCGTCATTTTAATGATGTTACCCCTTTCCAAAATTTCAAAAAAATGGCCTTGCAGAAAAGTGGCCAAAAACTGCACTTCTGAGCCTTTAACTTTTCTTACAGACATCCGATTTCAAAGTGGCATACTTCTAAATGATTGTTGTTTAATTCTCTAAAAATCTGTTCTTTCAGTTTGTTTTGTATTTTGGGATCGATTTTCCGTCATTTTAATGATGTTTCCCTTTCCAAAGTTTAAAAAGGTTTAAAAGGTTTAAAAAAACAAAAAAAAAAAAAAAAAAACTTAAAATGAATGTTGTTTAATTCTAAAAATTGTGTTTTCTTTTTTTGTTTTTGGGGTTTTAGTTCAATTTTCAAAAAATGGCTTTGCAAAAAAGTGTCCAAAAACTGCACTTCTGAGCCCATAAATTTTCTTAGAAACATCCGATTTCAAAGTGGCATACTTCTAAATGATTGTTGTTTAATTCTCTAAAAATCTGTGTTTTCAGTTTGTTTTTTATTTTTTGGTTGATTTTTCTTTATTTTAATGACTCTTTACCCCTTACCCCTTTCCAAAATTTCAAAAAATGGCTTTGCAGAAAAGTGACCAAGAACTGTCAAATTGGGCTTTTATTTTTGAGCCGCATTTATGATGTTACCCTTTTCATTTTAAAAACAGACATCCTGTTGTTCGATTTCAAAGTGGTATATCTATAAAAGCATATGGTCTAATTTCCTAAAACCTGCGTTTGTATTTTAAAGTCAATTACAATAAAAAATTGTCGGATTAAATTTCCGTTGTTTTTACATTTACACTTTCACCATTTTAAAAATACATAAATATTTTTTGTTTTATTTAGATACTGATTTTTTTTGCCAGTGTATGTAGGGTGGCGCGCGCGTATTAAATATGCGTGTCATGTCCATTTATTTGGCTTTGTTGTCACCTTCGGCCATGTTGACTTTTCAATCTCGCCGAACACTCCACGCTGGGGAAATCGCACGAGGAACGGCGACATAAGCAGGGCCAATCTGGATAATGCTGAAAACATATTTCGAACATCTCCCTGATCCCCGTGGCTCGACTTGATTGAATGGGCCTAGACCAGGGCCAGACATCTAAAGTGCACACGCATGACTTGCCGGGCGCATCGCATCCAATTCCCCCACTGCCTTCACTCATGACAAAATATTTTTAAGCCCCAGTCGGCCGCTTAATCAGCATTTGTCAAATGAAAAACCTTTCACCAGTTCTTGGGCTTGGCTTTGCGCCTGGCCTGGCCAAAATGACAATGACATTGCCGAGGCTGGCAAATGGCTTTCTCTTTGTGTATATTAGTCAGTGTGTGGCTGCTGCTGCTTCTTGACAATGACACCAAAATGCCGGCATTATGCGGGCTGGTGGCTGCATTGAGTCTAACGTCAACTGTTTCAGTTGACAAATTCGAGCAAAAAGTAAAGTAAAGATGTCCCAGCCAGCAGCAGGCGAACGACTGAGTGTGTCTGTGTGTGTGTCTGGGGAATGGTTGTGGGGGTTTTTTTTGAGGGGGGTTCCCAGCAGCAGGTGAATCAGCCACCTGGGTAAGCAAACACACAAAGGCGACTGACTGCTTTTCCCAATGCGAAACTGGCAAATTTCCATAAATCATATTAACCCACATTTGACATTACCCACCGTCTTTCCCCTCGCCTCCCCCTGGCATTGTTTGCCTAAAAGTTTTCATTTTGCACATTTGGCATAGTTTTTCCTTCTACTCAACTTTGTGCAGCTTCCTTCCTTGAAGCCTGCACTTAAAAATTTCCCTTGAAATTGTTAGCCCGGAGAAAGGTTTTCAGGGCCAACGAGCTTCCTTAATGAATATCGAAGCTCTCAACCTGAAATCGCAAATGAAGGTACAGGTAAATAATTTAGGTTGAGTGAATATTGATGTACATTATGTGGAACACAGAATATCTTTCAGAGAGTCGAATTCGAATGGCATGCATTTTTTATCCTAATTACCACCGAAAAATCGAAATACCCAGCAGATTCACATGCTCAAGACTTGGGCGGTTGCCATTGTGGGGTAATAAATCATTTTTATTGTTAGCACTTAAAATGCCATTGTGTTGCAATAAAGTCGCCATAGTAAAACACGAACATTTGGTCGACGAGCAGAGCAGAGTGAAGAATATGGGCCACAAAAACCAAACGCTGACCTGGTACTTGAGCCCTGGAGTGCTAATCCTGGCAGGAGGAGCCAAATTGAATCGGGATGTCTGGCCTGTCATTAGTTTTAATTCTTATTTCGGGATTGTGTGGTCTTGCAGCGAGGTCCTAGCTGAACCTCCTGGGTAATTATGCAATCACTTCTTGGCATGGCCCCCGAAACGAACTGCTTGCATGTCCTCTTCTCAGGCTCCAGGACTCTTCAAGACTCCTTCCGGCCTTTTGGCATTACAAATTGCCGCCATACGCGAAGTAATGCTTTGCTATTTGTACAAAATGCTAATTTGATTAATCCGCGTTTCAGTTTTATGAGGCCGCGCTTGTTTTGCGTCGCATTAAATCCATTTTTCAGCAGACTCGCGTGCCGTCACCCGAGCGAATAGTGAATGGCGAAGGCCGACCTGGTACCGAATGCTCCACATCTGCCGGCCAGGACGAGCGACTAGGCTAAGGCCAGCTCCCAATTAGGATAATCGCCGGCGGGAAATGTTAATTTAAATGTGAATGATTGTGGCTCTACTTCTGCTTCAGTTTCTGTTGACTTTGTTGCTCTGGACTTTCGTGTCGGCGATTGCGTGCTAGAATACATGTGTTTGGGGGCGCGGAAGTTGAGTCGATTGTGTAACCGCTTGGCTAAGCTTGATTCCGAATTGGACTCTCTCGTGACAGGCGGCCATGCGTGGGGCATTGATTGAGGGGGGGGATAAGATAGGCTACTCGGTGGCGGGGAAATCCCACTTCGAATCCTCGTCGAAAATCTCGCGATGACACTGGGGCATAGCGCTCCAGTCGCGAGCAGCCTGTTCCCGGATCGCGGATCTCGGTGACTTATCTGTCGATCTCCAGGTACAAGTCCAGGAAGTTGCGAAAGGCAATCGTTGAAAGCATATTTTGCTTTACTGCCTTGATCCTCGACCTTCTTTCGGCGGCGATGGAGGGAATACTGATGGCTGTGGAGCGAATGCTGATGGCGCTGCTGGAATTCATACCGAAGACGGGTTGTGGCCGGAAATCAGCAATTTCATCGCAGATTCGTGGTTTAGGGGATCGCTTGACCTTTGTTTTATTCTGGACTGCCAGCGTTTTTGGCTTAAAGGTCCTGACCCTCGGCATTGGCTTGTCCGCGATGGCTGGAATACTGACGACGCCAATGGAGGGCATACTGATGTCTGGATGTGGCTGGTAAGCATCCATTTCCTCGCACTTTAGGGATCGCTTGACCTTAGGCTTACTCTTTTTAATAACTTTCCGTTGCCGCTTTTTGGCTGGTTTGGCTTTCCTAGAAACCGCCGGCTTGTGCTCAATCATCAACATATCGGAAATAGGACAGCTCTACAAAATTAGTGGGAAAACCAAGTTGAAATTGATCCGATATGTAATTTCAAACTACTGCACTTACCAGCTGGGCATATCTCATCCTTTGAGCCTGGGAAAATGTTCCCCACACACGGGCTGCATTTAAAAACGCATCCTTCCGCATCATTTCACTATGTTGCCTTGAATAGAGCCGCAAAAAATTTCTATACGCAGTTACTGACTCCTGACTTTCTTGTGATTGACTAAAAAAGTTGCCCATTTCGGAGAACTAATGATTTGGCTTGTAGATATAGAAAAAAATATTTTAATAAAAGAAATTTTGTACGGATTTTTAATTGTGTATATTGTTATCTGACTTAAACTGGTTTCAGCAACTTGACAGATAAGACCACGTTTGACAAATGAATAAAATAAGAATTATTTATTGGACTTAATAATTTTGAGTAAAAAGTGTGAAATGCTCAGATTCCTTTTTTGAATTTATTGTTAAGAACTTGTTAAATTAATTTCGTTAAAGCAGCAAATGCGATAACTTTAATCAACAGGTCACAAAGTGCGAAATTGAGATATATTAAATTTAATAAATAAATAACCACAATCAAACATTGATAATGTTTAGTCAATATTTTGGAAGCCTGAGTTGATTTAAGCTCATGTTTAAATATAAAACACTTTTCATGATTAAAGAGCTTCCTGCTCCCAAAATTGGTGATTGTGAGAGGGCCTACACAACTCCTTCCCGGTAATCTTATCGCTCGGCTAACGAACTAACGCCATTAGCCAACGCGACCGGTGCGACAACCAGTGGCTACGTAATAAAAAAAGGGCAACAACCGAACATTAGGCTTTTGGTCAGGGGAAGGGGGCAGCAGGACGAGGACGAGGACGAGGTGAAGCCTAATGAAATTCCATGGAAACATGTTCTCGCCTGATAAGCAGTCATTGGTCAATTGGCCAGGCAACCCACCTCGAAATGTGCACCACACAGGCAATGCCGCGGAAACGAGCGTGACGTGGCACGGAAAACGCGATCGCGACCAACAAAACACGAAATATGAAAAACTGCAGAGGCGAAAAGTCAATGTCGTTTGCAATGCAGCGCTGTAAATTATTTTACATGGCCGACTTAAGGCCAAATGCAAAGAATGAGGCAAATGGGGACTCGCAGAAGCTTTAAAAACAAAGCCCAGAGTAGAATTGCAGCCCGGATGAGCCGCACTTTCACCAAGCTCGCAATTTCTGGAGCAGCAGCAGATTGCAGTTTATTTACACTGAGGGGAAAAGTGTGGCTTACTGGGTTTTCATTTTTATTCGGAGGTTTGTCTGCAAGGTAATCATTAAGTAGGATTTAACGTGAAAAGCTTTATTATGAGATCGATGAAAGTGAATATAAATATGTAGATTCTTACGTCTTATAAGCCGCCTGAAATGTTGTCGTACATAATTCTTTCGAATGAGAATACAAATACTGATAATACAATTAAATTATTGAAAAAAAAAATGTGGTTGTTTTGGAAAAAATAATTGTCCAAAATGAATTATCATTTTCTTTTGCTACAGTTAAAGTTTTTTGTCTTTATTTTATAAACAGCTTATCAATGCATTAAAAACCACATGGTTTGATTGAAACTTCGAATGCATTTAGATCGCTAAATGCAAGCCGTTTTCGTTTTTTAATACAAGTATATTCTTTATCTTGGTAATTTTTTTTGGCCGTGTAAATCCACGTGTTCAAGTACCCTGCCGCTGCGCCTGTCCCAACTTTCTGGCATTTATCTCTGTAAAAAGAAATCGCTCAACGCCCGGGAAACAGAGGAGTGGATGGAATGGGATTCTTTGTCTTAGCCAGGAGCTGGTGGAAAACTGGCGGAGAGGATGAGTGGCGGCCACCGCAAAGCAGCGTTTCCGCCGCGTATTCCTGTGCACCGAGTCCTGGGCGGAGCCACGCCCCCTCCTTTGGCTTTGTGTATGCAAACAAAGTACGAGATAAACTTTTGTTCTGCCTGAACTTTGTCGCGGCTGGGTGTTCGGGTCTTCTGCAGCTGCCGTTGTTGCTGTTTTGGCATTATAATTCCAGCTCGCTTTCGCCCAGTTCCCGTCTTTGTCCGCGCGCTTTATGAAAATGAGTTAAACATAATACGAATCTCTGGGGCGAGTTTGGGAAATTGTTTTTAAATTTACCAAGCCCCGCGCTCTTATTCGGCTTTGGTTTTGTGTCACACGCGCGGCAATGGAATTGAAAATGGCAGGAACAATATGTCATTAGAATATAAATTGAAATTGACGGCTCAACTTGTTTGTTTTCCGTTGGCATTTCTTTGCGGCACGCAGACAGAGGAACTGTCATTGGTTCTGCATGTTGCAGGTTGATTAAAAAACTATACGAGTGTGTTCCATTCACGTGCCGCACGCAGGCCGTGTCGAAAAGTGCCAGCCATAGACATACTTTTCCAATTTACCCACTCCACCGCACGAGCGGACTGTGCGAAATGAGCCACTCAAAGCAATCAGGCAGACACATCTCTGGCCCCACCCAATCACTCAGCCTCCGAAGCCCCCTGAACCCCTGGAACCCCCGTTTCCGGTCGAGAATCCCATCCCGCAATCCTCACCAGCCATCAGCGCCATGAATTATGCAAATCTCTTGCGGCCAACTCAATGCAGAGGCAAAGGCGAAGGCGAAGGCGGCGGCCAAGCTGGGAAAAAATCAAACAAAATCGATTGATGTACAAATTTTTCTTAGCATCCGCAAACAATTTTCTCCAAAGGAGCCTGCCTTTTGATTTGTGCGTCAATGACGGGCGGAAAACGAGGGGACGGGGGACGGGGAGATGCTGTCTTGTCCTGGCGGCCTACTCCTAAATTATGTAGATTTGTTTTAGCATAATGCTTGTGCCTGTGCAGGGGTGTTGTCCGGAAAGAGTGTGTGTGTGTGTGGCCAGGAGTGGGGATCCTACAGCGATTTATTTTTTCTCGGCTGCAACGTTTTAAACCGCCATTAAGTTGCCTCCATAAATATCAGGCTGGCCCGCCCCTCTTCGCCAGAAGAATTATGTAAATTCAGTTGGTCACAGGACTGCCCTCCACCCATCTGTAGCATCTCATTGAATTATTGTGCGTTGCCGGGACAACCGATGGTGCAGGACTCGCCTTTTCGACATATTCCCGTTGCCATAGTTGGCACTGTGGTGTGGCTGCCTTTGTCTTTGGCAATATATGAAATTCTTGAGTTTCCTTTCTGTTTGCCTCTGCTAATTTAATTTGTTGGCATTCTCTGCACAATTTGGTTAAATTTGCCGGACATTCCCTTTTGATTGGACCAACACAACTTTTCCATTGGCAATTGTTAAAACTTGCATTTTTAGCAATAACTGTTGGAGAAATCAAATCAGTTGAAAATTAATTTAATTCGCACTTGAACGGCAAACTTTGGCTGCCATGTAGCTTTATGATTTGCTTGCGTTTTATTCCTTTGCCAGCGAAAAAAGCGAAAATACCGAGCTGTAAAATTTTAATTATAAAAGTTTGGATCTTGCTCGCCTTGACGCCTGCTTGCCTGACTAGCTGACTGACTGGCTGACTCGTCCTGCTCCATTTTTCCCGCTCCTGTCTGCGGATTCCCCAATGGCAGTGCGGCTATGGGCATTAGTGCACCACCCAGCGTACTCTGCACTTTGCCAATTTCACCAATATTAATTATGATTTCATTTACGTTAGTTAACAGTTTTTCCCAGCGATTCTTTATTGCTTCTGCGCTCCTTTGAAATGAATACCAATGGCAAACGGCAGCAGTAGATGGGGAGAACGAGAAGGATGTTCGAATTGGGGTAAGTGAAAGAGTTTCCTTGTGGCGCAACTTAATTAATTTTACATTGCTTCGAGTGCACTGCTCTCTGGCTGTCAGAAAAGTGTTCAAATGATAAACGAGCTAATTAATATGCGCCAAAACTTGTCCCTCGGCCAACTACTGGTCGTGGCCAATGCAAATAGCTGGAAAGAGTCGCTTGTGGCCCGCCAATTATGCGATATGATTTGCAAAAGTTTCCCAGTCCCAGCATATTTCTGCGAAATGTCCCATTTTCTCGGCCAGTTCAACGACACAGTTTTCATTAAAATTCATGTGCAATATATTGAGACTTACTTGCATGCATAATGGTCACTAAGTTTGCGTACTGCAAACTTGAAGGGGGCGTCCAGTGGGCCCCGCAACATGCAAATACCTATGTGGGCAGCGACAACTGGTAAATGGCAACTGGGAACTGGAAACTTAAAACTGGCTACCAGTAACTGGCATCCGGACATCCTCTGCGTTCCGTTCCAAATGAAACTTGCAACGGTGGCATCCGCCTGTATAAAAACGCAGCTCAAGTAGTTTGTGCGCCCTATGAAATTTCATGCATAAACTTTTGCCAAATGCAAAACTTTTAATAATTTAAACCGTGCACGTATGGCGACGTTCCTGGTCAGCGTTTGGCTTTTTGAAAGAGCTTAGAGGAGCTCCAGGCAAAGTCCTTGAAAAAAAATCGACAAAAAAGTCATAGCAGTTCCATCGATGATTATGTATTTTTATATAAATTTGCAGAAAGTTTGCGAGTCGGCTGACTGGCACAAAGGATGTGACACATTTAAATTTCATACTTAGAGCTTGTATTATGGAAGGAAAATACTTAAGGGTCTCTTGAAATTTTAATACATTAAAAGGCTCTCCATGTACGGAAAGAACAATTTAAATGGTATTTACTTTTTATTCCAATTTAGAAATTTTATTGGCATTGCCAATTGAAGTGTTTTTATATAACAAGAAAAAATAGTCGCTGCTTAAATAATAAATAAAGAAAATATATCAATTCCAAACCGCTTTGGTAAATAAAACAACAATTAGTTTAGTTTACATCTAATGCTTTATTTTATTTCTGAATATTTTAGGCTTTCTTATGCGCATTAATCATACAATTAGCATCGTACTATGTAGTTAGTAATTAATGAATTCACTTTCAATGAACACGTACGGTCCAAGTGCTTATCTATTTCTGGTTTATTTGAAATATACTTGTGTTTAGGTTCAGATTAGACGTGAATCATTTCGGCATCCGTCCATCTGTGTAATCTGTAGTAATGCCTTCGAGTCTCCTGCATTCAACTGGCTATGTAAGGTACACACACATACACATTTATGTAGATAAATTGTAACGCTTTTACTTGGTTTTCGATTCGATTCGATTTCATTTTTTCTTTCGGTTTTGGCTTCGTTCGACATGCTAAATACAGGAGTTGTTTACGAGTTCGAGGGGCCGCGGCCTATAAAATATACAAGTGAGCTTTGACCTTTATTGTGTGCCCTAAATGAAACAGTACGGATTCGGATCGTACAATTGGAAAGGTGCAAAAGCTGATAAAATGCCTGCTGGGTTTGTAACACTCAATAAGTACCGTATTCATGTATTTACAGATTGACACAATCGTGAATCACGTGAATTCACGTGCCGCTAATATGTATGCAAAAATTCACATTCAAATACTCCGACTAATATTCCGAATGGGGGATTAGCTTAGTTCCGTCGCTCTTTTTGGTGGTACAACATGTTTGCTTAGACTCTAATTTACATCGAAAAACATTACATTGAATTGCTGTTACGTTGTTATCCTTTTGGTTATGGGTGCGCTTACTGGCTAAAATAAGACTACAGCTGCAATCGAAGGAATGACAATGAAACGAATTTGAAAAACAAATGTGGCAAATACTTTACATACTAACATTTTGCGGTCTGGTTGGTTTTCTGTGTTTTTTTCTTCTTCAATATTTTGTTATTTATGGTTTCGCTTGAAACTAAATAATATCACTATATAATGTTTGCTTAATTTACATACACATCCTGCATCGAGCACGAGCCCGACATTTATGAAGTAAAATGCAGTTCACATTCAGATATCTAATGCTTATTTACATGACCTAGTTCGAGTGGCTTATTCTACCATGGGGATGGAACTGGGGGTGGGATTTGGATAGTGGATTTGCATTCTCGACTCGCAATTTCCATTAACCATTTTCCGGTTTTATGTGTGTTTAAATTTAATCGTGGACAAATCTTTTGAAAAATTATTTACATGGGTTTAATATTTTCTTTTTTCTTTTTTCAGCTTTCTGGTTTGTTATCTTCCTTTGTGTTTCTATAGTTTCGGCTTGATTCACTTGCGCTTTGGTAAAATTAAGAGAAGGGAAGGGAACACAATTAGCGGTATACGAATTCCAAAAAAGTCGGCGCCCTTGCCGGAAAAAGATTTGGGAATTTTCTCGGGAACTCCGTACTTTTTGTCCTTCCCCGCCAATTTTCCCCCTTTTAGTGTGAGCGATTCCCTCGGCTTGTGCTGCTACTCCTTATCCTGATCCTGATTCTGATCCTGATCTCCTGCCGAATCATCCGCTTACCCCAGACCCAGTCGACGTCTGTCGAACTGACAATTACTCAAGCCCAGGACCAGGAGCAGCACCGTGTGGAGGAGCAGGCTGTGGGGCAAGGATCCTGGCAGGCTGCCGACCGAGGCACTATTGCTGCGCGACTTGGAGCTGGCCACCACCTCGGCGTCCTCCGGGGCAATGTCCTGGCTATTGGTGGCGACGATAAATTGAAATATATCGCTGACCTGCGGGGTCGAAAGCATGAGGGGGACAGAGGTTGAGTAAAGAAAAGTGGCACAAAATCAAGATTAAGTAGCCGCCCCACGACTAGATTTATGCCGGTCCTTTTGGCACCGAACTTAGTATGGCGAACTCACCTCATTCCAGCCATAGCGATTCTTGGCCTGCACAATTGCCTCGTAGTAAGCGCCCGGATGCAGATTCTTAATGGTGTAGGACATGATGTGTGTCAGGGGCTCCGTGGCCGGTCGGTGTTCCGGGGTGAGGATGAAGTCGTGCCACCTTCCCGGCTGCTGGAACGTCTCATTCATCTATCCGCCACAGATACAAGCAAATGAGGAAGAGAAAGAGAAAGAAAAGAAGAGCCAAATTAAGTGCCGGCTTCTACCATTGACAGTTTTCCTTTGATTCCTTAATTAATTTTATGTCCTGCACGAGGAAACCGAATGATTTCCGCTGCGAGCGCCCGATCAAGTTATGACAGCTATCACATCAATTAAGCCTCCTCCTTATCCTCATCCGAACCACTCGTTATACCGCTCCGGCGGAAAGTCCTCCAATAATTGCAATTCAATGGCGCATGAGTGCAGAAAAAAAAATTATCCCCGCCCAATCAGCGGGGCGTGGCCGGCCACTGCAGTTTGACATTCATCGCCAAGTGTGCGTGAGTCGAAATCTCATTAAATTGCGCGACCCACCTCACCTTTTTTTGCCTGTGTCTATAGCTCACAGTCGCAATTAAGCGACATTTTCGTATCTGCGTTGACACTCGTATTAAAAATCACTTTGCTCTGTCTACCTTAACTTTGGTACATGGAAAACAATTTTGAAATATTTTAAAGCTCTGATTACTTTTTCTGATCATAAAATCGTTAATCAAAGTCTTAAATATATGTCATAATTGTCAACGTTTCAATAATAAAACCTTTAATTTAATTTAGTGGAATTTCCTCATGCTATTATTATTTACTATTTCAAAATTATGGGAGAATAATTTATCATTATTTATATCCAATCAAATCAAAGTAAATTGATAATATAATAAATATACCAATTAGTATATTTTTCTCTGTTAATTATCTCCCCACCTTTCTCTATTTCTTTATTTTTTATGAGATCTACTTTATATTTTCTTTTTTGTACATCGCAGTGAATGTACTTTTAATCACGGGCTTCATTAGTGAGCCAAGAATTTTCCAAAAATAAATGCCTCCTTCAACGCGAGACGTTAAGGTATCGAATAGCTTTTTATGGCATCCACGGAGCATCTTCCAGCCCATTGTCTAGATGTCAGTCTACGGGATCTGTCTCATGCGCATATTTCCCAATTAATTAATTGAGTATACTCCTTTCATATCGGATTGCCAGTGGCTTCCCACCCATTTCCCATCTCCGTCAACTCACCAGCACTCGACGGTAGAGTAGGCGCACCTCCTCCAGCGGCGGGTAGCTATCGATTTTCCAGGTCAGATTGTAGCTGTCCGGCGAACGACCCCACTTGGGTGAGTAGAACTCGGCGGGTCCGGGGCGTCCGGAGAGTTCCATGTACTTGCGGGAGCGTCCCAGCGAATTGTCCGCCACACAGCTGAAAGGGATTTCTAATTAGCATATGGCTTAAATGGTTAATTGTCTTAATTGGCTTTTGGTTTTTTTTTTCCGAGTTTTCTCCACTTTTATTTGGCTTGTTAATTTCTGAACTCGTCATGGCTTTATGTTTTTGCACCCAACCAAAAATGTAATTTCCTTTTAATTTTGCATTACACTCTGTCAGCATTACACATACGCCATGTTCGCCCGCATCGATCTGGCAGTCGGCAAGTGGCTGGCTGGCAACCGACTGGGAACTCGACTCAACTAATCCAAACACGTCGACACGTCGTGTGCACAAAAGCCACTCACTGTGGGTGGTGGCCAGGTGGTTCGATTGGCACCAGCAACAGCAATAGCACCACCATCAACCATCAACCATCAACCACCAACCACCATCACCACCACCCACACTAGAAGATGGCAAAAACTTTGTGCATGAAATGTTGTGTCAACATGGCGAAACTTCCGCTTCTTTAATATGTTTCAGACAGATTGACATTGATGTGGAAAACTTGTTTGTCCGCAAAATGGGTGGGACACGCCCCGCACAGACAATTCCCCAAAGCCGGACGTGGGCACCATGTACCAGTAGCATGGAGCGAGTGTATGGCCAAATACAGCGGCGGACTAAGCCTCGTTTCTCGGGCCAAGACAAGTGGCAACTTCGAGCTGAGAACTGCTAACTGGCTGGCAAAAAGTGAAATAAGTTGTAGCCAAAGTTGCCAAATTGACTAAATCAACGCCGGCCAGCAAAGTTCATCGCCAGCCACAAGTTGTCCCTGTCGATCCTTACCTGTAGTTGCCAAAGTCCTCCTGCTGGATGTGGCGTATGGTGAGCGTGTGCCGGTTGGCCCGGGTGTTCATGGTGCGTCTGTCGGTCGATTGGATCGGAAATGAGTTCTGGTACCAGGACACCTGCAGCGTGAAGAGGTTTGGCATTAGCTTTGGCCAGTGACGATGATCAAGATGAGGATGAAGATGAAGCACATGTCAATTGACTGCGACTCATGCAATCGATGGCAACTAATAAATTCAACTCAAAATTTGACCCACTTGCAGTAACTTCTTCCTGCCACAATTCGAAATGAAAAACGAAACGAAGGTTGGGCAAATAAAAATGGCATTAATTTGCCACAGCAAGAAATCGGAAAAAGAAATTGCAAGCCAGCCTGGCTCAAAGCATGAGAGAACAAGGCAGGACACAACACAACAGAACAGAAACGAAAAGCTGAATAACAGAAAAAAAACAGGAAAAAGTGACCTGAAAACAAAGTTCTTGCATAAACCGGGCAATGGAGTGAAGGCTAGAGCAGGAGCAGGAGCAGGAGCTGGAGCTGCCTGCTCTGCCCGTGGCCCCGTAATCGTAATAATCTAAAAATCCACGAAAATAACAAAAACTATCTGGGCACAATGGAACGAATGGAACGGTGCATTCAAAGAGCCAACAAACCGTTGCGACTGGATCAGCGTAAACAATGCAAACGAGCTTCGCCTCGAATCCTTCGCCCGAGTGTATCCAGGACTTCTCCACTTGTATATCCGGGGGATCTGCACGGAGATACCCAGGCATCCGTCAGGTTGCGGGATGGCAGGGATGGCAGGATGGCAGGATGGCCAGATGGGAAGCAAGGACACACAGAGAAAGAAACAGAGAGGCGGTGGAAGAATTTAGCACACGAAGGCAGCAATCTGATTACAGTCAAAAATCAATTTATATACAGTTGCTAAGACTCCGTTTGGTCTCGCCTTTCTTTTCCCGCTCAAATTGTTTTTTGCCCGGCATTTGTCTATAACGAATCGGTGGTGCCGCATTGTTGCATGCATCTAGTATCTCGAGTTTTGTATCTGCCCAGCGGTTTCCGGATTCCCGCTGCAGTCAGCAGCTTTAAGGCTCTGATTTACGAGCCTCGCGAGACACTTTTGCCCTAAAACACTCTTCTTCGTCTCCGGTTTCTGCACATTTTTTCTTTTGCATTTTTCAGTTGCATGGCGAAGAAACTTTAGTTATCCCCCAAACAGATTTCAAGTTGCCGCTTTTTTCACGCAATGATTAATGACAGATTACGCGGCAGAGATACTAAGCAATGGCATGTACACTTAGAAAGGGAACTTAGTTCTTATACTTATATATATGAGATTAAATGATATAATTACATTTATCTTTAGAACTTATTAATGTACCTATTTTTTCTGTGAAATTTAATAAGAGATATAGAATTGAGTTAAGGTGAAATATATATATATAACTGTCTTATTGTAAATGAATAAATAAAGGTTTTATCTATGTCAATATATTATTGTTATGCATCTTTAAAGTCGCCTTAACTGTATTTTGATATTAGCCTTGCTTTAATACATTTATTTGCCTTAATTTTACCTTATATTAACCCGTCTATTAAAAATTGCTTACTCTATTCATTAGCTTCAATTTCGATTTTATACAAGTGTACTTACACAGCACATCCAGTCGCATATCGACTGTGACCGGATCGCCCACTCCATTGTCGGCGGTGCATTGGTAGACTCCTGCCTGCTGGCGCTCCAGCTTCTCCAGGGTCAAAATGGGTCCGTCGCCGATCCTGGCCGTCGACTTGTTTGCGCCGCTCTGCAAGGACATGGCAAAAACAGGAGGTGGAATATTCTGTAATGCTTTTGTAAACAGAGTGGCAACAAATTGAATCAATCGCAGACATCTTTTGGCCCAGGCAAAAAATGAAGTCGGCGAGAGTGCAAGTAGCAAATGTCAAAAGACAAATGCTGTTGGTAAGCGAAAAAGTACGGAAACGAAATGAAACGAAACAAAACCGAAATGAAGACATCTCCCCAACGAAAAACGAGAAACGAAAAACTTGCTCTAACTGCACAGAGGGCAGGGGCCAAAAGCCAAGTTGCACAAATATTGGATGTGGAGCATGCAAAACTGGATGTAAACACAGACATCGAAGCGGGTCTCAGAGGACCAAAGAGGGCGTTGTAGCAAGTCAGCTTTCTGGCTTTCTGGCTGCGAGCGTCTTTTCTTTGGCAACCGGCTTGGCTTGGCTCGATTTGGTTTGGTTTGGTACGCTTCGGTTCGGTTCGGAAAGGCCAAGTGACGCCCCAAGGGGAACACGTGTCAACGTGTGCTCCAAAGACAGCCCAAAACACGACGGAAACGCTGGGGCAGATTGAAATGGAACGCAGTGCCATGGAGTGACACCCAACTTGGCAGTGTCTCCAGGCGAGCGGGTGGATCAGGAGGAGCCCCAGAAGCAGGACGAGGAGGTGCTCTCCATGAAGGTGGAGCCGCAGCAACTCATCGTACCTGCCTAGGAGCAAACAAATCGAACGGAAATGTCAAATGCGCCAAAGTGCAGTAATGCAAACGAGACTTTTACCCAAATGTAGGAGCCCTGACATAGACATATATGACACACACATTCTTCGAGTGCTTACCCCGACACTTGCTTTATTGAAAATTTGTGTGCGAATAGAAGTTACACTCAAAAAGAAAACAGTATAAAAACAAGTATCATTAATGTATAGAAGAAATAAACAAAGTTAGCAGTGCAAAAAGAAAAAAAAGGTAAGACCAGCAAAATATTTCCAACTGTTATACTAAAAAACATTTTCTTAAAGATGGTATTTTATATTCTATTCACATTACACATATTAAGATCTAGTCTTTAAGCGGACATTATGTTTTAAACGATGAAAAGATGAACAATTTTGTAGCCTAGATCTAAATTTTGCATAGCATGAAGTTAAGTCTGAACTATGAATTATAAGTCTACATTTTCCAACTATAATTTCTTAACGCGGAGTATTTTTTCTCTATGTTTGGACAATTTTCCGAGTGTATGACACTCTGTATATGCTATCTGTTCGAGTGGCACTGACAGTGACTGGGTCACTTGCTTATTGCTAGTTGGCAATTTCTCGGGGACTATTTGCGAGTATATGCTGGAAAGCATACTTTTGAGGGTCCATGAATCGCATTAATTGCGCTTTGAATTCGAACAAATCAATTCCCCTGGCAACCTGCAATCACAGCTCACCTTCTCCGCATTTGCAAGTTACTGTCGCTGACAGTGATTTAGTGCAAATTCTCTGGCAACGAATCAATGCCAGATTCGGATCCCGAATATATAGCTCTACCCCATTCAAAATGGGTAAATGGGTAAAGGAACTAACGCCCTTTGTGTGTCTCTTTGCTCTAGTTGGCAGGCTGATAAGCTTTCCGAAATTAGCAGCGAAAACTGATTGCCAACTCGCTTCCGCATTTGCAAGTCATATAAGTCGGCATAAATTCATTTGTCTGGCTGCCGTTTTTGGCCCTCTTTGAATGCGTGGCAAATATGTTATCCCTTTGTTGGCTCATGCGTAAAATTATGTGTTTGTTGAATTCATAATTGCCTCCCATTACTGCCACATGCCGCAATCGTAGATTGTTGGGGCGGCGGTGCCGCCTTGCGATTTATCATCTCACTTTTTGTTTGCTCCTGCTGCCGAGCGGAGATTTCTACAGAAATGTGTTGAAAACTGTGAGTGATGAGATATGTTGTTGATTTATAATACAAACACATTCCTATCTAGACCTGCGCTGTGTGTGACTTTAATGTAGGCGAATCATTTTTAATTAATAACGAACTTTTGGCCATCCAAAATGGCTGAAAAACTCTTCACCTCCCACCCCCTCAAACGGATCCTGGAAAGTTGTGCGGGCTCTCGAGGGCTTAAAAGCGAGTGAAAGTGAAATTTGAAAGGGAAAGTGCTTAACAACTGACCCCACGCAGCTTACCCGCACCGCCCGATGGGAGGAAAACGCAATTTAAATTTACATAACGATGCGAAACAGTTGCGAGAATTAAATTCAATTAAACTAAATGAAATTCACTTAAAACAGCATCGGAATTTCCCCAGTTCAGCTAAATGGCTGGAGAGAAAGGCAGAGTAGCGATGTGTAACGAACCTTCTTGGTCCAGTAAATGGATGGCACTGGATTACCAGATCCCTTGCACTCCAGCGTAATGGGTCCTCCTTTGCGAGCCTGCAGTTGTCCTGATGTGGGGATGGCCCGTACACTGGGCGGAACTGGGGAAGAGTTGGGGGACAAAGGGTGGCAAATCAGTGGCTAATTGATGCATGCGACTTAAGGAGCACTTGTCAAATGTAAATCTGTGCCTTAATGCTGTGCAAACATGTCGACGTGTACTCACCCAATATCTCAACTGTGTGCACTTGATCACGATTTATTTTGTCACTGATTTGACAAACATAATCCCCGGCATCTTGGGGCTCCAAATCGGATATCTCTAAATCATAACCATCTATCAGTCTTACGCGCTCATCCCTTGTAACCATAATGTTGGAGGCAGTGAGCACATTTGTTCCACGTCGCCACAGAAGAACGAAATTGCCTGCAAGAGATGGAGATACGGAAAAAGAGTGGGGCTTATAAGCAGATGAAAAATATAGAGCAAAATGTGTCTTCTCGTTGGCTACGAAATTTATTGTAAAATGCCGCAATATAAACATGAAGCATTTTGCTGCCAGCGTAGACATATACTTTCAGCTGTCACTGTGGCAGAGAAAGTTGGAAGCGGCGGCAGGCGAGCGAAAATAGTTTTCGTCCGCCCAGATACATATCTATCTTTTCATCTTTCTATCTCATCCTCAACTTGCCCTCGCCAAGCTGTGAACATTCTGCAGATTCTGTTCTGTTTGTCTATCCGGAGGTCCTGGCAGCAGCAGGATATGTGTGGGCTTCTGTTTTCATCTATTTTTTAGTATGTTTGCTCATATAAATGACATAATTTTGCAGATGTTGTTGGCATAATTCTTTGCTTTTTTATTCTTTGCATATTTTATACTGCCATGGCCGCTTTTATTGTTGTCGTCGCCACAAAAAGGCAAACGAGAATTTGTTAAATGAGATTAAGTGGCGTATAATATGTTTATTTATTTTGTGTGCTTAAGTCCTGAATGAGAGACCCATAACCCAGCGCTCCACTCCGCCGACCTCGAACAATTTATGAACTTGTATTTATTATGGAAATATTAAAAAAACAAACGTGGAAAAGCGCCGCACGGCCGTATTACGTATACGTGCTGTAAAACCGAAATCAGAGTTGTGTAAATACTACTTCGTCAACGTTTACCCAATGTAAGAGGGGGCCTGGCAGTTCGCCCTTCGGTCCAACGGTCAACGGTTGGTTGGAATATGATTTTCAGCATTCGAAATATGAAATTTTAATGAAATGTTTTTATTTTCCCGACCTCCGCTGCTCCGCCTGACTGAACCCGCTCGCACAAATTCATTTTTGTGCGTGTGTGCTGGTCCACTAGCAGCTGACATTTTCCCGACCTTAAGCTGCCATTAAATAATCACAGCTTAAAGTAATAAATTATTAATGCCCCATTTACAATTCATACGCGTCCATAATGAGTGTGCTCGGTTGGGCATTTGCCTTACTTCCGGTTATTAACAGGACTTTGAATGCAAAAGAAAAGGCAGCCCACTTCAAATGCAAAAAAAAGAATATACGCTTAAGTTGTTCGCAAAAACTCAGAGGTCCCCTATAAACCTCGCTCGATTCCTCCGGCTTAAACTTAAGCAATCATCATTTTATTGGGGTTCGATTATTATTGAATCGACTCCAGACTTCCCAAGCAATTGCCCGGCATTTTGTGGGTGAGCAGGTGGTGGAGGGTTTTATTTTGATTCTATATTAGTCCTCGACGGCTTCCGGTCCTGCATTTTATTAGAGTCTAATGGCTGTATATTGATATTATTGGAGGGAGAGCGGAATGCCATAAAAATTTCATTTTATAGCTCGTCAATTTTGCCATATGAAAGTTAAAGCTGCCTTTTCAACCCACAAAGTGCTCATAATTTTTGGGTCATACATAAGTCTGTAGGCGCAGATGTGTATTCGAATTGCGAAATAAGTTACCCACGTTCTTGGCTGCCTTTTTAAATGAGTTTTAGGTGAAAGCAATTTGGTAAGTCAATACGTTTGGCTGTGGCCAGACCAATGAAAATCCAATTTATTACCGCGCTCCATATTTTCCGACCAGCGTTTTCGTCTGCCATTCACCGGGTGACAACATGACGTATACGTATTTGATTCGCACATATGTGACGAGTGTAGGTACACATCGTACAATAGCGAACGGCAATCAATGAACGGCTTCATAGACCATTTGATACTTAATTTCTTTTATTGGATTAAAGGCTTGCCCTGCCGCTCTCTTTCTGCTTGACCTCGCTGCCAGTTCGTGGGGCATGAAAGCTGCAATCAAACCCTCGCCATGTCACCCATCGTTAAAAGCTGAAGCGGATTGATGACAGTGCAGTGCAAAAAAGTACACAACCAATGGCCATTGGACTACCAGATCCAGAAACATAGCCAGTGACATGGCCAGAACCGCAACAAGAGTAAAGTGCATCGGGGAGATTTCCGGCAGCAAATAGTTGAGACCAGCATATCAAATTACTCCCATTTGCTGCAGTTATCTTGATTATTTGGCAACAAACTTTAAGAGTTTCCTATTTTAATTACCACCAGGATGCTTGCTATGTTTGTTATCCGAATCTGCCATTAAAATCCCAGTCAAACAAATCATCGAACACTTCAAAACACCTGGCATTTGATCCATACAGAGAATTATAAAGCCGAGCGAATTATAAATCCGAGCTGTGTCCAAATGACAGCTTAAGGCGCAGATTGAAAATCTGTGTTGCACAGCTGAAACAGCCTCACTAAAAGTCGAAACATCAGGCGTTAATGGGAAATCATTGCACTTTAATGCTTCGGCAAGTGAATCGAATTAAATGAAAATATTTTCGAAATAAAAAACTATGTACAAACAAGCTGATTCAAACGGAAATATAAACGGCATTTGTTCAACATGCACTGATAAAAAACAATAGCAAACTAATATATCGATTCTGCCTCCTTAAAATTAATTTTAGTTTTGTGGTCACTCACAGAAACTTGTTTGTCAGAAACGTAAGGTTTAAGAACAATAATAAACAATTGAAATAGCTTTAAGACATATTTCGCCATTAGAAAAGTTTTTGATGAAAACAACAATCGGTTAACCTTTTAACAGCAATTGACATTAGTAAAGGAACTATGATTTGCCATAACTCAGGTAGCATTTTAATATTAGACAGATTATATGTCACCCTAGAGCTTTGCTTCATTGCACTCATACCTTTCGGAAAAAAAAGTGAGATAAATCTAAATATTAATGTTCGATTGCAAGGGTATTAAGTATGAATTGTTTTTTTTTCACCGTGTACCGTCCGTTTGGTCTGGAGTGGGAAACTTTGACTGATGTCAATCTGGGCGCTGGAGTGCATGCTGCGCGGATTGTCGTCGCTGCCATCAATGTGCAATTTATTTTCATTTGCTGCGAACGGTTAATTGCATTTTATTTATTGGCGTGTCAACAGCAGTTGCAATTTAAGCTTCCCCCTGTTTTTGGTTTAACTGGGTCAGAATTAAAGAGGCCCCAGCGATAATGACTAAAGCGAAGGAGAGCCATCAACTCGGTCAATATTAGTTGAAATTGTTTAGTCGAGGCAAATATTCCGCTCGCCTTTAATTGATTAAAATTCGATTTTCCTTGGCCCCTGGTCACCCATTATCCGCAGAGTAACTTCCTGCCGAAGGACTCATCGGACACTCCTGACAAGCCAGTTGTTTGCCAACAACGCCCAGCATATTGACCGCATTTAAGATGTGGCTGGCTAAAAGTTTTAGCGAAATAATAAACTAATGTAGCTTGGCAGCAAAACCAATTTGGCCTGAATTGACCAACTTTTGTGATGGATAAAGATACTTGCCTTTGATCTTTCAGAGATATCTTATGGCCATACTTGAGTGAACTGTGGAATTTTATTAATTAAGATATTCATATTCGAAATTTGGGCAATCAAAGCGAATGCATTCCGAAATTTTTGTATTAGCCCATGCTAATTGAAGTCGAGATAGACATTTCTGACATTGCTGCATATTTAAATATGAAACGGCTCTCTCAAACGGCAGCCATTCATGCATCCATGGGCAATCAAATGTCATTTTATTTGCAGTCCAGCTGCATTCACGCTTGGATTGCATTTCGTTTGCCATTTGATTGCCTACAGTTAGGCCGGATCCAGAGTGAAAATCTATCAACTGGCGAATCGAGGCTAAGCTAAACTCCATTTGGCAATGACAAACGGCTGCCTCCGTCCCGCTGTGTCGGTCAACGTTAATCAGCCAAATTTATTTGCTGCCAATATGTGTGAGGTTGCATATTTTGCCAGCCGATTTATAAATGCGAAGGGAAAAATGTGTCGATGTGTGTGGCCAAAACCGAACGACAGGCTGTTGACAGCTGTTGGTTGCCCAAATGTTGTCGCCATCATAGTCGTTGTTGTTGTTGCCATACTCGAATATTAAATTTATGTGAAGTGACATTTTGCCTAAACATATTTGCATATATTTTGCATAATTTGCACCGCTTGCCTGCCGTTCATCGAAAATATTATTATTGTACGCCCAGCTACATTCATTTTTATGATCGCATTTTCACATCGCAATACTAATAACGTGGGATTAATTATACTAGGACCGGAGTCCGCCACTCACCCAGATTCTCCACCTTGCAGGGCAGGACGAGGGTGTCCCCGACGACGGCGCGATAGGTGTGTCCTCGGGACAGGAAGCGCGGCAGAGTGGCAGTCAATGTGGAGGGGGCTGCCGCCGACTGCTGGACGTTGCTCATCGAGCGGCCGTTGCTGCCTGAAAATAGAAAGGGGGAAGCGTGGAAATCGGTTTAGCTTGCGGTTCTACACAGAAAATAAACATAACAATATTGAATTCACCACTTTCCACCTATTTCATTTAACAACATTTATTTGACGCCCATCAATTAGAGCCAAAACCTTCTCAGTATCATACAACTTATGCAATTAGCGAATAAGTACAAAAAAACCAAAATATCCTTTTACAAGAATACTTAGCATTTAGCGAGATTATTATTTTCCAAAAAAAAAGCAGCTTTGTTTAACCAAATAATTTTTGGAAAAACATATCAATATAAAGTTTGTGTAAAATAAAACCAAACCTATTTTACAACCAGCAGCCATTCAAATATCGAAATTAAAATGTTATCTATTACCGTCAAATAAGAAAATGCTATTAATCCTTGTACATTAATTTAATATGGATGGCAAATTCCATTTAAAATTACAAATATTTAACAAAATGTAATTTAAATATTCATCTCCTTAGGAATTCCCTATATAATTTTTGCAATTTATTTGATATTGTTTTCAGTAGTTATTTGTTACATGTATTGCCGTATTGATGTTACAATCAAATTAATTATAGTTGACAGTCGGCAGCTTTTGAAGTACTAATTGTCCTATAAATCAAATCCTTTTTTGTATGGAAATATTTAAAATTATATGTGACAAGCCACAACATTTTTGCTGTAATTGGAATTAATAAATAATGTATGTTTTAATGTCTTGAAATGCTTGAAGTTAAAGCCCGTTAGCTGAACTTTCACATACCGATGTATTTGTTAATCGAACTACAGTTTGGGGTATTTTATTTTTCTCCAAGTGCACTCACACTCTTGCTTAGAGGGCCTGTCTATCGATGGCAATTCGTTTCCATCTGAATGGGTTTCAATTAGCATAAAAATGTAGCAGCGAGTCCTTCGCGTTTACGCCGAGACCCCAGGACTCCCAGGATGGCAATAAACGCGCCGTACGCACATACCGGAACGTTGCCGCGTTACGTGAGGGGTGAGTGTGGGGAGGGGGGAGGGAGGGGGTGCTGGAGGGTATATGCGGATGGCCGGCGGACGGAAGCCCCTGCCCCTGCCCCTGCCCCTGACCCCGCCGGCACCGCTCGGTGCGTGTGACCCGTCAGAGTGTGTTAACGCACTCGCCGTGCCCTCGGGGGCATCGTTGGTGTCCTGTCCTGTCCTGTACTATCGGTGGAAACATGGCCAACGTGAAAATTGCTGTCGCCCAGCAGCAGCTTAAAGCCAATTTCTATGGCGGCAAGGAAAACAGTCTGACCCTGGCACACGCAGTTTCAGTATTGTCGGCTTTTGGCGACAAATGAGCGCAGCGGAGCGTAAGAAATGTTTATACCGGGCTAAATGCAGTTTAAGAGCAAGTCCTGCGCGGCAACAGGACACCAACGCAGCGTAACAAATTTGATTACAACAACGGCGGAGGAGAGTTGCAGTCCTTTTGCCCAAAGGACGCCCCAAGGAGTCGCCAGAAGCAAGATGCGAAATTCGAGAAGAAAACGGCAACATCAGCAAACAGGCCAAAAGCAAAGACTCACGTCCACTCCTTTTGCCGGCTGCACTTTTCCGTTTTGTGTGCTTGTGCGCACTCGTTTTATCTTTTACGATACCCCTGGACACGGCCATCGCCTCCGCATTTGACCCACCTGTCTTTGCTCTTAGCCGCCCCCTTCTTAAGAGACACTTTTACAGGTCCTTAGCGCCCAGTGGACATAAAAGGACATTTTCGCAGATCATCATTTTATGGGGGCTGAGGGCAGCGAGAGTACAAAGGAAACGGGCGAAAATTGGTCAGGCTTTAATGCTGGACACGGCACAAGCGAATTTGTCGACCCTCAGATTTTATATTGTCCCGGGACAAAAGCGCACGCTTGTGTGAAATTGCACAAATTTTGCAGTCAAATGAACTTTAATACGCAGCCAGCGCACAGACTTTACACACCCACAGAATCGAGAAATCAAATAAAAGAGTGGGACGACCGAATAAAAGATACTCAGTTCTTAAAAAAACCTTTGCATACTTTAAGGCGTGGGAAACTAACTAAAAGGACCTTAAATAGTAGATTTTTCGATATTGAACACCTTTTTCAAATAAATAAATGAATGAGTTCTCCTCTCCAATTTCAAATTCTAGATTTTTTTTCCCATATTTGAGTGCAGCTTGAGGTCACACATTGGCATCTTAATTGTTCACTAGACCAGCTCTTATTTCTCATTGTGGCATAAATCTCCACAAGCACAATATACCCTCTAACCCTCCGAGTACCGCCTATAAAAAGTGTCGGACGGGGCCTGAAGGAGCACTTTAAATCTCTTTTATGCCCGGGACACTCTCGAGTTTCTCGACTGCTTGTCGAAATACGAGCCGACCCCTGCGTTAATATCTCGGCATGCATAAATATGTCTGGTCCTAGCAGTCGACGCGATATGCACCTCGTCCCCTTTGAGGGGCCTGCCGAAATTAGAGTTTTGCATATGAATTTCAGGCAACACTTTCGGGCGGTAGTCACCTCCCCTTTTTTTTTGGGTCGGTCATTCGGGCCACAACGACCCAAGTGGCACATGTCGAGGCTCCAGCACATATTTTTCAAATGACCAAAAATGCAGTTGGCCTTAAATTGCATGCATGAAATGCATTAAACATGCAAACCACTTCGCACCGAGAAACCCGAATGCTAGGAAGGTGATTTGTGTGTGTTTTTGGGTGTGCGTAAGCCTTTTTCGGGGGCGGGTGTGTGGCCAAAATGTGTGGGCGGGGCATAGGCGCATTAAACAATTTTAAAGTGGTTTCCAACTATGCACAAAATTTCATTAAAACTGGGTAAAGCTGAGAGAGGCACGGAGGTTCGATGGAACGGCAAACTTTATTGCTGTCTCTCAACCAGAAAACTAGTAATTTTGCACGATCGAAAAATAGGATAAGAAAATGTTTTTGTAAAAATCAAATGGTGAAAGAAAATCTTTAATAGGAGTTCTTAAAAACAAAATATTTTGTATGCATTTTAGCATACATCTTTTTGATTAAGCTCTTCTGTACAAGTAGATGTTTTGGAAAGTGCAACCTCTATTTTTTCCTCAACTTAAATTTAAGAGTTCTTAAATTTTTGCAGCTCAATCACTCACGTAGTTAGTCGACTGCGTTGTACAAAACGCAGAAACTTTCTCCACTTCCGCACCGAACACTTTCTCTCCGTCCGTGCTGAAAAATGAGCGCGAAAACTGTGTCACATGAGTCCACCGTACAGTGCGCACTCGCACTGACGCACACACATTCTCCTGCAAATACACTCACATGCCGAGCACTTACATCAAAAATGCATGCAACATTGCAGCTGCACTTGCAGTTGTGTGAGTACGTCTGCTCACCACACAATAAACTCGATTTTGTAAACAGTCTTCAAACTCGACCATGTGATACCTATTGTTTGTGCGGAAGTCCCAACAATGGAGTGGATATCCAGTCCCCTTTCCATGCAGATTGATTTTCTACTGACAGCGATATGCCCTGCATTTTCCAGGAAAAGTGTTGCGAAAAGCACAGTTTGTTGCTTAAATAATTTATCTCGTTCACCAACACACATTTTACGTAGTGGGGGTTTTTAGCAGCTAACGACAATGTGGTGGGGTGGCGAAAAGAGGTGGCGCTACTCGTCAACATTGTTGCATAAATAGTGGCGCTGCTTGCAGTGAAGTACACTGGACAAAAACATAGCCATATCAATTTGAAATTTACGCTTTTTAAATCGCATATCCATTCACATATGTTTAAGAATTTGTCATTGTTTCCCTACTGATATAAATCGAGTTAATAGGAATATCACTTTCATAACAATAAACTTTATTTTAACAGCTTATGTAAGTGATTAAAATAAACGGTAAAAAATAAGCCTTGCCGAAAAATGACCCAAAATATATATGGACATAACTCATTTATAGGACCATTACAACTCTTGGTTATTATTATTTATTATCTATACTTTTCTTGGTGTTCAAGCAGAAAAATTTGAATGTAATTAGCTTAAACTATAAATCAAACTAATTATTGGCATTTGGGAATCCCGATTTATTATTCAATTATTTTTTCCATGAAATCCAACTTTAGAAAATGTTTTCTCTGTAACATATCTCCCGTTTTCAGGCTGTTTTACCAGTCAGTCTTCCCAGGTAATGGCGGTTGAGCTCGGCGAGCAGCGGTGGCTAAGGCATTTACGCCTGCTTTTGTAAACGAAGCGCGTTGGCATACTTTTGACAGGGGCCTCTGTTGCGAACCACTCGGATCTGTTCAGTTCAGTTTCAGTTTCAGTTTTTGTGGCCGCCAGCGGGGAGCTTGCCACACGGCTGCATCGATTCGATTGGAGGCATTTGAAATGGTTTCGCCGAAATCTGGAGCTGCATCTTTTTGCCGTTTAGCGCTTTTCTGCGGCTGCTGCAATGGTTTTAGTTTCAGCTGCACTTTGTGCAATTCGAATTGCGATTGTTTTGCACAACGACATTGCGGTTGGCAATGAGAAGCAGCTGGAAACACTGTCACCGGCGACTGATATATGCATGCACTCCATTTCCCAGTCAGCGCACTAAATTTGTTGCATTATTTTCGGCGAACACAAAGCCCGCACATGCAGCGTTTTCTCATTTCCGTTGCGTGGTTGCAACTACCATGGCAACTTGGCTCTGCTTTCGGTTCTGCGGTTCAGTTTACATACCATGGCATTTTTCCCTCGCTGCTGCTGGCGAAATTTCTACGAGAACGGGACCAGAAGCGGATTCACCCTCTAGCTAAAAACTATTCGGAACTATTGTATTTGAGAAACTAAAAAACCATAATATAGTATGGTTTATTTCCCGAAATCAATACGCTCATTTTTTAAAACTAAAAACAAAACTTACTATATAAGATGATCTTACTTTAGTGAAAATAAAAACTATTTTTCAAATGTTTTTCTATTTTTAATCACGTGTTTTATTTAATTAC